TTTTTCTACTTGTTTTGGGCGGCAGTTTGCTAAATAATTTTATTGGACCTTATACGTCTTGCTTGCTAATAATATATTAGAAGAGTTGGATCTCCACAACTGACCGTGTTGTGTTAACACAGACACAGAGTAGGAGCTGTTCACAGAGGTCAGGTGTCAATGTGTGCGTGTGTGTGTCTGTGAGAAAAAGAGAGTGAGCAGGGCAATGAAGGGCTGAGCGAAACAATGCACTGCACTGCGCATAGGTTTTACCTAATGGGTTGCTGTGGCTCACGAGGTAGGGCAAGTCGTTTTCTGACCAGCAAGTTGGTGGTTCGACCCCCGGTCTCCCCGCGTGCCTAAGTGTCCCTGAGCAAGACACTGAACCCCAAATTGCTCCCGGTGGCTTGACTAGCGCCGTTGTGTGGCAGCCTTGTCGTCATTGTTGTGTGAATGTGTGTGTGAATGGGTGAATGGTGTATAATCTCCTGTAAAGTGCTTTGGCCAGTGCAACACAATGTGAAGAATGCGCTATATAAATACAGTCCATTTACCATTTTACCATTTAGCCTATTTAAAAAAATAAATAGAAAATCAAGAGTGAGAGGGAAATTATCCGCCACTGGTCAGACATGATCTCTTTAAATAAATTAAAGACATGCAACCTAGGACAGGTCTGGTTTGGTGTCCTCTCCCTGCAAGTAGCCCTGGCACTGGAACTCTATGTTTCTGATGAGCAGCCACATCAACCACCCAGTATTTGATGGTTTGTTGTTGTGTCTTATTGTTTTTCCTTTTCTCTTCTACACACTCACCCCAACCAGCTGAAGGACAGTCACCTGGGGTCTGTCATTGGTTTCCTCCATTAAACTGAGTTTTTCATCCGCACTGTTGCCAAGTGCTTGCGCAAAGGGAATTTATTGGTCTTTCCTTATATGAGCTGTAGCTCAAGAGGTAGAGTGGTCGTCCCCTAAATGGAAAGTGGGCAGTTCGATTCCCGTTCTCCCCACTCCACATGTCAAAGTATTTTTGGGCAAGACACTAAACCCCAAGTTGCTACTGATGGCCAGAGCAGCACCTTGCAGGGACAGCACCAACCTCTGTGTCTGTGCGTCTACAGCAAAAACTGAACAGAGACCTCGTTTCAGACTCCTGTGGTTCCATCTGGTTCCCTGATGTGGTCTCTGATCACAGGGACCAGGTTTCTAAACCACATGGCAGACTCAGTTTACATACATTTCACTTACTTCTTCCTCAATTTGGGAGCTGGAGGAGGTGGGATGGGGGGCACAGAGCGGCTGCTGCTACCATCTTTCCGAGGACGACCACGAGGTCTCCTCTCTGAAGCAGCAGCTTTGGCCAGCTGAGCAGCGCTTCGTCCAGCCCGAGTGACAGCAGTGGGCAGTCCTCTGCCCCGAGGCTCCTGAGACTGGGCCTCAGATGGCATTCTGCCAAAAAAGGTTAGAAAAATAGAGGTCAGAATTGGTCCAAGGGTCTCTGATGGTTCACTATGTTTAATGTAAAACCACAAAGAAGGAATTTAGGATGGACTAAGCTGATCCAAAAATAAATAAATAAAATAATCGCAGGCTTCCCTCGTAGCACATCACAGCGAAGAGAAACTCTTCATGTTCTGGACCAAAATTCTTTGCTTTTTTTCATACACTGAGAAAACTTCTACCATTGTCAGGATATTTTCAGCATTTTGTGTTTATAAATTTTTTAAGTTTGAGTTTTATGTATTTTTGTAATCCTTGTTGCATATGCATTACTCTTACTTTTTACATTCTTTGAGGTTTTTTTTTTTTTATAAGTCTTGCATTTCAAGTTGTTTCATACGCTGAACAAGAGCATATGAGATCCAAGAATCACAAAATGCATCCTAAAATTCGTGCTCCAGATCAGATATGACAGGTGAGTTATACTGTGCATCTTACCTGAACCAAGTTTTCATTGTCAAATGACAATGAGCATGTAACACATGCCTCACCCCTTCAGGCAGATTTAATTAGGTGCAATCTTCGCAGACAGCTGTTAAATCATCTAAATCACCAGTTACTTTCTGCTGCAAACCTTTTACTGATATCTGTTATGTCTGATCAGGCTAATAATGTAGCTGAGCATTTAGGCTTTTCTTTATCCCCAGAGCAGTGACCAGGCATAATCAATACAAAAAGTGCTTTAAAATGTAACACACACACACACACACACACACACATATACATATATATATATATATATACACACACACACATATACAGTATATGCATCCTCCCCCTCATTAACTGTGTGTCCTCTCTCTCTCTCTCTCTCTCTCCCTGCACCTTTCTGCAGGTTGGCCTCGCTCTGGAGCTCTATGTTTCTGATGAGCAGCCACATCAACCTGCCCAGTGTTTGTTTGATTGTTGTGTCTTGCTCCTTTCCTTTTCTTTTCTCTCTCCTCTATCCACTCAATATAAATAAACCTAACTGAATTTAAAACGTGTGATGTCAACATCAAAAACTAAACCTATGCCATAAAAGAACATACACTGCTGTTTACATATGACAATATAGCTGATAATACACAGTGGAAAAAATAACTTAAAATCAATGTAAAAAGTAAGAGCGCTTAGAGACTCTATGATGCATCTGATTCACGATTAAGTTTGTGCATTTTTAACTATTTAGTAAATGACACAAACAGCCTGAAATTTTTCAGGGGGGCTATACTGTCTGATTAGCATAGGAAATGAACAAATTATTCTATAATGGAATTATTATAGAATCATTAGCTAATCATCTACGTTAGCATGTGCGTCCCAATAACAGCTCAGACTTTACTGATCATGAATAACTGGAGAAAAATCGCAGCAAACTAGACAGACTGTTATAATTAACGTTAATAACCTACCTGGTTAGCACGATGCTAATTAAATCATCTGTCAACAGGAGTCACAGCCAGGCTAACGCTAATAATTAACCTTAGCGTTTTATGTGACGCACGTGTAAAAACTGTTTACATGTCAACCTAACACTTCGTTAGACGACAGTAGTCGCTCCTGGTCCCGAATTATTACGGGATCAGCACTAAAAAGTGTACAAACAGAGCGGTAAGCCATTAACCGCTAGCTCCCTCGCACCGCCCAGTTTACTGATCACTTCTCTATAAGCATTAGCTTAGCAGGCTAGCTGTTAGCGGCTCCAGTTATTCGACCCTTGAACTCCGTCGCTTTAAAGAGCTGGGTTAAGGCTGAAAAAGTGAGAAACAAATCTGAGCAGGTGTCCAGAAAAGAAAAAGAGGGGGGAGATGGAGAGAAGGGAGAAGAAAAAAGCGCCCTTACTGATTTGATGCGATTCTCTTTTTCTTCTCCAGCTTTCCAACTTAAAGCGATGCGATTAAATCTGACAGCGAACTTCTCCCGAGGGTAACATCTGCTTCACAAGTCCGCTATAGCGAGAGGGACATCCCCGGTGGGCATGGAGAAGACAAAATACGGTTTTCCAGCTGAAATGTTTGCGAAAAATTAAAGTTGGAGCGGTCACTCCGTCATGGAGGCCATGTTTGGGGAGCGACCGAAGCACCGCCTGTCAACGCCAGCATGAGAAGAAGTAGGCCCCAGGAAACGGTTTTCATTCTAGGAACCGGAGCGAAGCCGTTTACTGGAGGCGGGATTTGTATCTCAGACCTGGGTAAAGGCGATGTTCAACTCGAGGTAAACGTCTAAAGGCCCCCCCTTGTGTCTGGTGCATTTGTTTGTGGGTGTCTGACCCCCGCGGAAAGATCTCGTCGAGGGCTGATCCGGTGAAGCGGTCTCTGTCATCAGACCGGAAGTCCCGGACTGGATCCCGGAACCGGACTGCTGTTGCTGCTGCACTTGTCCGAAACATTGATATAATAAGGACAGTTTATCCTATGGAGCGTAAAAGTAAAGTGGGCATAAAAATATTCAAAATTATATCAAAAAGATGAAAATAAGACAAAATCACAGATGGCAAATGACCATAAGATACACACAGTGGCTTCAAAGAGATGATCAGCAGCCATAAAATGTTACTAAATTACTTAGAGACCATGACATTAGTTGAAAGAAATGTAAAATAACTACAAAAAAGACAAAAGCATAAAGACAACACACAATATGAATACTAAGTATATGACCATGTTTGTCCTGTGTAGGTGAGGTGGTGGCTGGATGTCCCATAATCTGTCCATGGCAGAAGTACATTTACTCAAGTACTGCACTAAAGTACACTTTTAAAGTATTTGTGTCAGGATTCCCAGCACTTACTGTCACCTGGTTTTATTTTGGGACACTTACTACTGATATAAATATGAAGCCTTCCAGCCATTTGAAGCAAAAAATGGCTTGTGTCAAATCTTCAAGTGCCCATGAAACCACCTAGTGGTGAAAAGAAGTTACCACAGGAATTTGTAGTAATAGACTGAAGCAGCGCAAATCACCCTTGTTTGTTACTCAATAGCTAATAGTTGTGAGCTTTTCTTTAAATTTTAAAATGAAGCCTGTAGTATTATTACTATGTGCTCACTACTTGGCTTAAATGACCATTCCTGTCTTGTCGTATAACTGTTGTGGCTTAGCCAGTGTAGGGGACAAAGGTCTATGCACAGTTGTGGACAACCTTCTGGAAACCCGTGATATACTATGCATACAAGAGACCTTTTTAGCAAAGCGAGATGGAAAAATGTAACCCTCCTGGTATGTTGCAGTGCAAAGTTTAAACATCTAAAAACAATAGTTGAAAGTATTTTATTTGTATAAAACTTCTTCTGCTTGGCGTAATCACTGGTGGAAAGTAACGGATTACATTTACTCGCGTTACTGTAATTGAGTAGTTTTTTGTGTACTTATACTTTATAAAGTAGTTTTTTTAATCTGTAATTTAACTTTTACTTAACTATGTTTTGTTTTAAGTATTGTACTTCGCTACATTTTAAATCATATTCGTTACTGAGTAAAAAATAAATTAATTTAAAAAATAAAAGTATTGCAACGGAGAAGGAAAAATAGTCGCTTCCCAGAAGCACTGCACTGATTGATTGATTGATGGGCGGGGAGAACAAGCGCGCTAAACTCACAAGAAGATGGAGACGGACAATGGAGATGCCAGTGATGGAGCCCCAGCTGAAAGCGAAATGCCATCAAGTTCCTCATATAAAGCAAACCCCTGGCCATATTTAAGCGACCCGTTTGATTTTAAGCGCAAGAAAGGCGACGGCTTTATTATGCAGTGTAAGATGTGTTTGCCAAAGTCGACTGAACTGGCAGCTTATAAAAACTCGACATCAAACCTGCGCAAGCATGTTGAGTTAAGTTTAACTTACTAAGTTAATATTACTTGTATTTATAGTTTACATAATCGTTGTACTGTTGCGTTGCATCAGTGTGTGACATTGTCAATGTTGTTAGCAGAGGGTTAGTAATTAACAGGGACAACGCACGATTGTCATACGAAATGAATGAAACGTGTTACATGTTAGAGTAGATCTGCTGATGTTGCAAACGATTTAAGCATTACTGTAACATTAGTCAGTGTTACTCATAGAAGACTGTGTTTAATGCTCGGGATTCTTCCAGTGTGCAGGAGCAGAGCTACAGTGCTGAGCACAAGGGACAGCAACACAACAAAAATACTTCTTTTAGGATGATAAAGGTTCCACAGCCAGGACTAGGCCTTCGTTAAATCAGGATATTTAAGTAACTTTTATAAAAAAAAAAATGTCTTAGGAAAAATATAATGCTCTGGCATATTTTAAGATATGTTAGTGCAAATTATTTTCTTTTGTAACAGCTCAAACATTCTTTTTAGTCTGGGACTGACCTTAGGCCTGGTCTGTGAAACCTGGGGAAAATGTTTTTGATGCTGCTTTTAAAAAAAGGGAGAGTGCTGAGCACTGTCTGCTGCAGTGAATACACTGGATAGGCATAAATACCTCTTACACGCCCACTTCAAAACTACTGAACTTTTCCTTTTAATATGAATAAATATGACACTGAATTTAGTATAGATGTGTTAACATATCCACTATTTTTCATAGTTTTAGCTCATATCTTCTGGTTCTGGTCATATCTTGTGGTCACATCTGGTTCAGTGAGCAAGAATTGTGCAGTATGAAATGCAATAGACAAAATGTGATGTGTGTAGAATCTCCTATCTATGACTGTAAACATTACAAATTCAGTATGTTTAATGAACATGACATTGATTTAAATGTTTTGGTTATAGAGAAAACATCCATCAAAGCTGAAGGCCTTCAGTGACTTTGTGGCAACACGGAAGTGAACCCTGGAACCACCAGAAATTCAAATCAAGCAAAAATAAGTGACACAATTGCACTGGGTGCAAACAAACATGTGCCACAGGCAAAGGTCAACAAGCTCATTATTAACTTCATCTGTGAGGGTCTTCATCCATTTTCTTTGGTTGAACAACCTTCTTTTAAATAACTTTTACTTGCACTGAATCCTCAATGCAAGGTCATATCCAGACCCACTCTCCGGACCAGAATTGATGAAGCTGCCAATCGGATGAAGAAGAATTTGTTGTCACACCTCAGTAAAGTCTGCTATGTTGCCACCACTACTGATTGCTGGACTGCACACCAGCAAAGTTGCATAGGTGTGACAGCTCATTGGATAGATGAGGAAACCTTGGAGAGGAAATCCGCCACACTTGCTTGCCAGAGATTAAAAAGGGTCACACACCTTTGATGTCCTGGCAGGCACTCTTGATGACATTCATTGTCAGTATAGAATAAGGGGAAAAGGGGTAAGAACCACAACAGACAGTGACTCAAACTTCATCAAGGCATTCAGTGTGTTTGGTGAGCAAAGCCAGACTGAGAAAGAGTCAGAATCAGATCATAACTCTCCTGAAGAGACCAAAGCTGATTACCTGGACGCATTCAGCATTCTGGAACAAGACAGTGGTCTTGAGTTCCAGCTTCCTCCACATCAAAGGTGTGCATGCCACCTGTTAAATTTAGTCGCCACAACAGATGCTGCCTTGGCAGAAAACGGTCGTACATGGCTGCGGAGAATGTTGCAATCAGAAATGTCTGAGGAATTCAAAGTGAAAATGTGTTTATATATATATATATATATATATATATATATATATATATTAGGGGTGTGCATCTCTCCAATACACGACGAGACAATTTCGATACATGGGGCTACGATACGATTCAGAAATGATACTTTTTAAAATGGAACGATTCGATACGATTACACTGATACGGTTCAATTCATTGTGGTATGATGCAATCAGATAGTTTGTTTAAAGTAGACGATCATTTTACATTATGAAGCAACATAAGTCAGTTCTATAAATGTGAAATTGCTTGCTATAGACTACAGAGAACAAGTACTTTTGACATGTGAATTCAGCAACATGCCATGTTTATTAGTGTAACAGTACACTTTGAGAACTTTACAAAGCCCCTCTGATAACAGAAAATATTCAAGCTCGTTATTGGCACAAATTAAAGCCAAAGAAACAACTAAACAAGGTGAAAGAAATACAACTTTTGGAAAAATCTGTATAGCCTCAGATCAAGGAACAATAAGTTACTGAGGTTGAAATGGCAAAATGTAAGCACTTGTACAGAAAAAGTGCAGTCTTTTAAAGTGCTCTTTTGTAAATTAACATGCATCTACGTTAAGAAATCTTGCACTAGTGCATTTCACTTTTTTAAACTGCCATTTCACTATGTGTAAACAGAAAACTATCAAAGTAATTATTTTTAGTTTTTCTTTGAGACAATATCCATTCCTATATGCATGGTACACTCACACGTACACACTATTACAAACCTTCCTACATTACATACAGTCAAGAAGTTCATGTCTGCTTGTCAAGATTCTTCTTAAGAAAGATCAGTTGATCAACATGGCCAGGTCGGAGTACACTGCGCTGTGAGGAAACAATGTCTCCTGCAGTGCTGAAAACTCCTTCCAATGCCACATAAATTCTCCATGTCGTCTCACTGAGTGTTGAGATTAGTCGTACTTTATTGCGGCCTTACAATCTTTACATATCGCCACAGTTTTGTCTAGTGCTCCGTTCTTCATATAAAACCCACATTTTCTCCATACCTTTGACTTTAAGCTTTGCGGTGCGTTGTAGACCGTATCGTCATCCATGCAGGCGGCCACAGTTACACTCAATGGGCCCACCTGGCTCAAAAACTGCGTCCGCCATGCTGTCGCGAGATTACCGTGGCCGGCGCACAGGTTACGTCAGAACAAGGCTGCAAAACTAAAAAAGTAACCGGCATGCACTAACATGTCCGATACCGCTGTGCTTGTTTGCAGCAACATCAGACCGATTTATAACGTTGTAATCGGGCCATCGACCGATTCAGCGCACATTTGGCCCGATTCGGGCCCCGTCTACCGATGCACTCGTATCGTTTTAATTCAAATCGATTTTTCGATTCATATCGATTATTTGTTACACCCCATATCATTTTCCTGAGGTTACCCTGCTTATTTCTTTTTTATACTTGTGTGAAATTGTGAAATTACATTTCCATACTTGACTACACATTCCACACTTATTCCTGCAAAAAATTAGTTGCATATGTTTTTTTGTCCTACAGGCTGAGTCCAGCTGAAATTGTCTTCCTGACCAAGTATTGCACTGTTATGAAACCTGTTGTGAAGGCATTGAACATTCTTAAGTCTGAGACCGACACACACACGGGGTGGCTCCTGTCGGTGATGTTCCAGTTACAAGCAAAACTCAGCAGACTGGAGACATCCTCCAAGATGTGTCTGCCCCTTATCAGAGCAGTTCAGGATGGTGTCCAAAAGCGCTTTGAGATGATGCACGACCCTGAACTGATTGCTGCAGCAATCCTTCTGCCAAAGTTCAAGAACACCTGGACTGAGAGGGCTGAAATCATAGAAGCAGGTATGATTTCATTGTTTTATATCATGGTGTAATCAGTCGTTAACTATCAATCCCAGTTTTGTCTACTTTCTTACTAAATAATGTTATAATTGCAGTAAAGTGAGTCTATGCAGTTTCTCCATGGACAGAAATATTTAATATGCATTTCTGTGTGTTGCTCAACAGGTCTGGTCTATGTGAAACAAAACCTTGACCAGATGGCAGAGGCAGCGGTGGAACAAATCATGTCACTTTCATCAGATGAAGACTTCTTCTCCTCAATGAAGTCCAGAAGGTCACAAGGTACAGGGGAGCTAGATGGTTATCTTGCTTGTGTCTCAGACAACATGGATCTGTTGAACTCATTTCCACACATCAAAAAACTTTCTCTGAAACTCAATACTGGTCTTCCTGCCTCAGCTGCCTGTGAGCGTCTCTTCAGCAGTGCTGGACTGTTGTTCACTGCAAAGCGAGCAAGGATTAGCTCTGACTTGGAAAACCAACTGCTGCTCAAACTTAACAAGTTCGAGTAAGGATGGGCACACAAACTCTGAAGATATACAGAAGGGCAGGGCTATTAAAGTAATGTTGTTAATTTGTCATTTTGTTATTCGACAGTTAACCTGTTACCTGACAATGGCACAGTTTTGTCTTAAATACTTGAAGGTCCGTGACCCAATTTAGATTGCAAGTTTTGCAGTACAACTGTTTGGGTTTAAGAAAAGGCTGCTCTACTGAATGCACAGTTTATGCAATATTAAGTTGTATTGTTTAAAATGTTTTACGAGATCTGCACTGGAATTACTATCTCCCTTAATATTTAAAATGTTTTATTTTTTTATTAAATTCTGTTATTGCACTTTAATTTGTAAAGGTGTTCCTTAAATTAAAAACAAATAGTCTGAGATTTATATCCCCTTGAATTTTTTGAACTACACTAGAATCCCTGCTGTTTAAAAAAAGTAACTCGGTAAGTTTTTAATGAGCTACTTTTTACTTGAGTAGATTTTTAGCCTGGTAACTTTACTTGTACTTCAGTAAAATTTCACTAAAGTAACAGTACTTTTACTTGAGTACAAAATGTTATTACTCTTTCCACCTCTGGGTGTAATCAAAATGAAAATGGTTCATTTCACATATTTGCAACCTCCCCCTTCATGTTTATATTACAAAGATACAGAACAGAAGAGGTGTCGCATGTTAATTTATCAACATCACGTCATAAAAAAATATTCAAAATGTAAAATAAAATTTTAAAAATCAATGAGAAGTGCAAAAATAATGTATTTTATATGTAGGTCTTTCCAATGTACATTAAAAAATATTTTAACATTTCTTATGAAAAATGAGTGCATTATCCTCATTGAACCTAATCTCTGAGAAGTAAAGAACACCATTGCACTAAATAGTGATTGAAATGGTTAGTAATGGTAAAATTAACCCAGGAACATCACTGCTGTTCCTGAGAAATGAACATAACAGGTGGGTTAAGCCTCTCAATGAAAATTTTCATGGGGCAGGGGAGTCTACAATTGGCCTCATTATGAGGTTAGTCAGAGGTAGAATAACAGGGTGTAGCTATTTTATGGAATAAGGAGCTTGACTCCTCGATAAATGTGGTCAGACTCGGTGTTGACTGGTGTATTGCAATGCAGTTTACTCATAATGATAAGGAATTCATTATCTTAAATGTTTATATGCCTTATGAATATCATCAAAACAAGGAAAAATATGTAAACAGACTTGCTTTTATTCAAGAGAATTCTTTTAGTCTATATGTCATTGGAATATGAATGCAGATATTTTACATAGGAAATCAGTATTGGCTTATCACATGATTCTGTTTTGTGAAGATAACCTTATATTTTCAAGCAAAGTGCTTTTGCCTATGGACAGCTATACATACATTAGTGAGGCCTGGCACACTGTGTGATGACTGGACCATTGTATTAGTACACATGCTTAATTGGGGGGCATGAGCATTCAATATGGGGCAGCTATGACTGATCATATACCTCTAGCTTTGTCTATAAATGTTGAACATCTGCCTGCATTATGTAGAGATGCAAAAAGTGCAGTATCATGATGAGGCCCAGGGAAGCCTTTAAATCATGGGCTATGGCAGGTTGCCCAAGACAAGGGCCTGAGCACGCTCACCAATGTAAGATACTAGGATGCCATTCATTTTATTTGCCAACATAAGCAAGTTATGAGGGCTGATTCCATGGTTAAAAAGCTGTTGTGTAACACTGCAAGTGACTTTTGGAAAGAAGTGAGAGTTCTTAACTGAAAAGCATCTCTGCCATGCACCATAGATGGAATATCTGGAACAATGTTGCTGGGTTATGGAGACAACACTTATTCAGACAGGACGTATTCAGGTCAACTTATTCAGCTGTGTCAAGAGTGATTTGTGTAAGTCAGGCAATACTGAGGGTAATGATTTGGTGGTGAGTAGATCACAAGAGGTGTACCTAGCTATAAGCAAGCTGCCAAATCATAAAGCATGTGGGTTAGACCATATTTCTGAAATATGCTAGCCCGAGGATAGCTCCTCTACTTGTTATTTGCTTTACTGGTCTTATGATCTGTAGAACCTCTTTTACTGTAGACCTCAATTACCACAATTACTTCCTTAAGAATCTCTAGAACTTCCTAAAAGTCCCAGGATGTCTTTAGTGACAATAAGAACCATCTTAAAGACCCATAGCATCTCCCTAATCACCACAAAAGCCACCTTAAACTCCAGAACCTCAATAATGACCTTGAAAACAGTTCTTTTAGCACAAGACTGCTACATCCCCAGTGCAAGAAGGAGCGTTACTGTAGGTCATTCTTCTCCACAGCTGTCAGACTGTACAATACATCACTGCAGTGATAAGATAGGTGAAATTATGAGGGACTATGTAATAGTCAACTGCAATACTCAAATCCTGGGGGTAAATATGCACGTTTAAAATCTTGATTTCTCTCATACTTTATATTGTCTTGTTTTAGGTACTTTTGAGTAGTTTTTCAGAGATCCTCATGGCTGAAATACAGGTATTTTCCCACATTGCGGGACTAATTATGGGAGTAATATTCTTGTCCTTGTTCTCTTGAATACTATATTTTGTCTTGTTCTTGGGTATTTTGATTTGTTCTCAGGGATTAATTGTGTCAGGATCATTCTTGTTTTTGATTGTCTCTCAAATACTATATTCTGTTTGGTTTTAGGTACTTTGGAATCTGTTTCTCAAGACAGTATGTGTGTGGTGTGTGTTCTTATGGTGTTTTGTTGCTGCTCTCTATTGCTGCTGGAACACAGGAATTTCCCCATTGTGGGATCAATAAAGTCCTACCTACCTACAACCACCTTAAGGATCTCTAGAACTCCCTCTTCGATAACCTGAGGACCTCAGTTACCTTAAGAACTCCTAGAACTTCCTGAATGACCACAAGCACAATTTATCTGCATTAAATTCACATTTATTAAACAAAAACAAAAAATTCACAGTTGATGTTACAGTTCAGATGAATGTCACTCCTCCATCCAACACATAGAAGGAGTTGCTCCTGTAAGCCTTTGTCCTAGTGGAAAAGGAGGAGGTGCAGTGGACGGTGAAGACCTGCTGTCCTACTGCAACAGTCATGTTGTCTGCGACCTCCTGCTGGGAGCACAGCAGCCGGTGGGTCACCAGCCGTTGCCAGGGACGACAGAGGTACGGTCGGTCAGACTCTGTAGAGGCAGCAGCAGAGGAGGGTCTGCAGCTCCTGATGGCGTGGCAGGTGGCAAAAACAGTAATTCTGTAATCCCTGAGAGTAGGAGCCACATGTAAGAAGAGCATTTACAGGTACAGTACTTATGGTCCACTAAAACCTTTTGAAAGACCCAAGAACCACATAAAACATGAAAAATCTTCTTAGTGACCAATAGAAACCCATCACTGATCAATACAAACACCTCAAGGACCTTCTAAACAACCTCTGGACCCACCCGAAAACCTAGAACTGCCTAGCCATATCAGGAACCTCAAACTAGTGAAACTCTCTGAAGGATCCCTGGGACCTCCTCATTGACCACTAGAACCTACTGACTAGTTGAACTTACTAACAGACCACTGGAACCTATGAACCCACTAAAACTTAGTAACAGACCTCTATGACTTATGAACGTACCACTAGAATGCATTAACAGGTCCCTAGAACCCCCTTGCCAGACCTCTAGAACCTCCTAACGGATCCCTAGAACCCTTAAACAATACATATCCACCTGAGCAGCCGGCCCAGCAGGTCTGAACACTTGCCAAGCTTCTCCTCCTGCTTGGCAATGCTGGCCCCACCCTCGCAGCGGTCTGGCCAATAGAAAGCAGAGATACTGTCGATAAGGAGGAATGACAGGCTGGGGCGTGATGCCAAAGAGGTCTCCAGGAAGTGGAGAGTGAGAAGGAGGTGTGAGGTGGACGAGCAGTGAACAACCAGAAGGCGGGACAGACACGAATACAGTGCTGCCTCGTCTGCACCGGCTGATGGTGTGCCAGTTGAAAGAGCTAGACAAACACAGAGAAAGAGGAAATCCACTTCTGTTCTACTAAAATCACCTGAAAGACCTGAGACCCACCTAAGACTTTGTGTACCTCTGTTCAGTCTGCTGTCCAGGATACCGACAAGTCGTAACATGTCAAGACTGTAGTCAGTGTCCACGAACATGACATCTGTCTCCAGACCACCAGCTGCCTGTGGCAATATGCAGCGACACAGGAAGTGGTAGAGCAGCTCTGTCTTACCTGAGACACACACACCTGTGTTACAGATGCACACGTTTCCACAGAGAATGCTTGCAATTAGGTGAACTCACCTGTTCCTTCTGTCCCATAGAGCTCGACCACCTCACCTGGAAACAAACACCAAACTTAACTCATTTTTCCAGTAAAATGTTCTACAGGATCAAGTAGTTGGGTGTGAGTGTGTTCATGTGCATTTAACTCTGTATTTAAACTGAGGGTTGAAGCATGTAGCCCACCTTTCAAAGTTTTGGAATGAGCTATTAGCACTTCCTGTTTGCAATTTACCTATGGATGTACAGACAACTGCCAATGATTACTGTGATACTGATGAAAACTTAAAAACATTTAGATTCTTAATGAGGTTCTGCAGCAGAGGTTTGCACCCCGAAGGTTCCTCCTTGCTGTCACCAAGTGTTGGCTCAAGGAGGATTTGTTGGGTTTCCCCCAAAATAATAATAATAACAATAATAATAAGCACTGTCCTGAGGCCACTTTGTTGCGATTTGGCACTATACAAATGAAAGATATTGCCCAGTCCTTTTCAACCAGGAACTCAGAGACGACGCAGACCACTTGGATTTATAAAAAATATAACCGTGCTGGTTTATTCAAAGGGTCACAGGCAAGAATCAACATTACACGTCCAGGCATCTTCCACCCCCAAAACTGATCGCAGGCAGCCCGGAAGAAGAAAGCCCCCGAACCTAATAGCCTATACAATTTAATCACTTGGTTGGGCTAGCCCCATCCTACACAGGCAACGTCAAACCGTGACGTCACCTGATATGCCAGCTTTACAGCTGACCAGAGCAGTAGTCAAAACATGGAGAAAATTAAAGTGTGTGGCTGTTGATTAGTGGTGTGTACAGACTTTAGGTTTAGGTCTATATGGCACCAGCAGGGCTCAGGATGGCCAGACTTTAGGTTTAGGTCTATATGGCACCAGCAGGGCTCAGGATGGCCAGACTTTAGGTCTATATGGCACCACCAGTGCTCAGGATGGCCAAGGTTTAGGTCTATATGGCAACAGCAGGGTTCAGGATGGCCAGACTTTGGCACATGCTGACCAGTTGCCGGCTGGAGCACTGCTGCTGGTTGACGGGTAAACGAGCATGAGGCAGGAGCAGCTCAGTACGTTTTGGAGTCGGTTTAACACTTCAGTGGAGAGCATCTGATGACTGGTCGCGACATATATTGAGGGGGACAATTTTCCGTTTTCCAAATTTTGGGTGGGACGTGCCCCTCGGTCCCCCGTGGGGATTACGCCCTAGTAATAAGATTATCTATGGCTATAACATTCACCCTGTGACGCTGCCACACCAGAGAATAATGACAGTCTAACATTTGTTCGTGGACAATTACAGTTGTCACTGTAGGAAAAGTGTTTACATGGCCTTAGCCACAACTTAACAATGTGCGTACGTGCACACGTGTCATAGATGCACTCCGGTGCTTCTTCTACAAATAGCAAATTCTGATTAGATCTGGCTTATCTCGAATGTGCCTGTTGATAAGGAAGTGAATTCACACTGAATTTTTAAAAACTCAGTCACGACTCTGAGAAAACAGCATTTTTTTTTTTGACACATGCACTATAAAACTGGCAGAGAAAAGGGAAACCGTCCCGTTAAATGAAGAGGTGTGGTTGTTAATGTCTGGGTGTTTTAAAGTCTCTTAATATCCTCCATGACCTGTATCACATAATCTATCATCTGATAGGTAGCGAGCGAAGTCAGTCACCTTTCCTGGGTCCTCCATTTTCGGGAAACAGACGAGGTTCGACGTCCTTCAGACAGCGACGAGCCTCCAGACGAGCTAACAGCTACAAAGACACACAGCAGTTACACACTGGACCGGCATCTACAACGTACCAGCTGGTAGACGGTACCACTTATTGTATGTACACCGTACCAGCAGGTAGACGGTACCACATACTGTATATACACCGTAACAGCAGGTAGATGGTGGCATTTTTTACTTTTAGGAACGCCAAATTTAACAGCAACTTTTTTTCTATAACCACTGAATGTAAACAACTATCAGCGAAATGCTTTAATATTGAGGAAAACTTCCAAATGCTCATTCTCAGACAAGCTCTTAAGCCATACAATTCACGCATAATTCAATGATTACATCTAAAGTATGTCTTAATTGCGACATAAGAAAACAGTCCACAATTAATGTGAGGAATTGATCATTGAGACGATTCCTCTATCACATTTAAGATGATTTTGGAGTTTAAATCATCTACTGACGGTTAAACCTGAACAGACACTGTTTATTTCACAGGTGAAACGCTGTGTTGTGTTCTGACCTGAGTGCCGCTTTCAGTCATTTCAGCAAACACATCCTCTTCGAAACAATAAAAAAAAAAAAAACGTCCGCGGCCTTTTTTAAATCCACTTCCTGTTTCCCGCATTTTTACCGTAATGGACACGAGAATGAGACATTACCGTAATATCTACTCAATTCATTGCATTATTTGTGTAGTGCCAAATCACAACAAAATTTGTCTCAGGACACTTTACAAAGTGAGGCCTAGACCTTATTATTATTGTTATTATTACAGAGGAAAAACACAACAACTCCCCCTGAGCAGCACTTGGCAACAGCGGGGAGGAAAAACTCCCCTTAGACAGACCCAGGCTCTTGGTGGGTGGCATTCTGCCTTGACCGGCTGGGGTGGTTGGACAGAGGAGAGAGAGAAAAGACAAGTAACAATACACAAAAAACACTGGGCGAATTGTTATTTTTTAACTGTAGTGTTAAAAATCAATTTAAAATCAACTGTAAAATACAGTGAATGTGTTTAAGAGTCCTTTCTTGTGTTTCTTGTTGTCATTTGATTTCCCTTCATAATAATTTTGCCTCTTTGCAGTTTTACCACATTTACTCTCTCTTTACAGTACCCTTTTAGGGTTTTTAGGGTTCTCTTTGTAGTTTTGTGCTTGCATAGCTGTTTCCTGCCCCTTTACAATTGTCATTTTTATGTCCTTGTGGTCATTTTGTGTGTCCGTATAATCGTTTTGTCACATTTTCTCTCCCTTGCTGGTCAGTTTGTGTCTCCAACTGACTTTCCAGCAGTAAATTCAAACAGGGTTCACAGACCTCATGGCCCCTCGCCATTGTCCCAGTAGAATCCATCCTTGCCTGTATACAAAGCAAACTCCATTTAAATATCACAACACAGTTTATTCAAATCTGCTGAATACACATTTGCTACTGCGTTGCTACTGCGATTCAATTGAAAAAAATAACATCTGTGAAAGACAACTTTTACAATAAAGGTCCCCTCTGACTGTTCTCACAGAATAAAGTTACCAGAATAAGTTCCAGTATAGCACATTTAGTGATTCCTGTTTGCCAGCAGCAAATATGAAAACTCTAAAAAACAGTTAATTTATAAAAAGCAACACAACTACATATATACAAACTTGGATATTATTTACAAGTCTGAAATAGATCATCGCCATATGTCCCACATGCTATGAGCACAGCATCAAACCTGAAACCTCAAGGGCACTCAGGGTGTGTAGAAACGTTTGCTAAAACCTTGCATTTTTAAATGTATATTTGTTTATACTTGTCAAATAATACATTAAACATAACCAAAGTTTACCTTTGATATAGACAACCGTCTGATTTAATGTGATACTGAAGAAAACATAAGGATTCCTAATGAACAAATACCTGGGCGTCCACATCAGTGAGGACCTCACTTGGACACTTAACACCGCACAGCTGGTCAAGAAGGCCCAACGGCGGCTGTACTTCCTGAGGAGGCTGAGGAGGTTTGGCATGTCACCTAGGATCCTTTGCAACTTCTACAGCTGCATCATTGAGAGCATCTTGACCAGCTGCATCACTGTCTGGTATGGCAGCACTACTGCTATGGACCGCAAGCACCTGCAGAGAGTGGTAAAGACTGTGAAGAAGATCACCAGGACTCCACTGCCCTCTCTCCAGAGCATTTAGCATTGCAGGGTGCGTAGGAAGGCTGCCTACATCCTCAAAGATCCAACCCACCTCCAGCACAGACTGTTCGCCTCCGTATCCTCTCGCCAGAGAGGTTCAGAAGTGTGAAATGTAGGACCACCAGACTGTAAAAACTCTTTCTTTCCCTCTGCCATCAGACTACTAAACAGCTGAGGAGTTTATTACCAGGAAATACATCATGTACTGTTTACATTCTCAGTTTGCACATGCATAATTACACAGACTGTTGACCGCTGCACATGCTGCTCCCATGCAGCATGCATCCTCTGTTATATTCTTATATATTTTTTATTATATTGCTGCATTTGCTACTTAAAGTGCCTTAGATTTTGTGTTACTTATTTATCTACTTTATATTTCATTTGTATTTTGTGGCATTCATGTGGACAGCAAAGTAAGAATTTCAATGTACAGGGAAACACTTCTCCTAACTGTGCATATGACAAACACTTTGAACTTTGAACTCTGAACTTGAAGTCCTGCAGCATCTTTTTCCTTGGATTTCTGTGGGTTTGACACAAACAGCAGCATCCAGACAGCGTTATAAATGTGTCCGATGTCGTCTCTTAGCACATTCACAGTTTTAACACATTTAACATGAACGGGAGAATATGAACAGAAATCTAAAACAACACCAGTGTTTCCACTGGTAACATTTCTCAGTGGCGGTCCGCCACACTAAAAATCTTTGTTGCCATGGCAGAGAGAGATATACAATACACTACCTGTCAAAATCCGTTGCTAGGCAGTGCCCCCAGATTGATTTATGACCCTGTGGGATGAGGCACGCTTCTGAGTATAAGTCCCGCCCACATGTGACAGATATCTTCCACCTAGATCAAAAGGCCAAACCCTAATTTCATACCTAAAATGATTTTTCATATCCGTGTTACTTTTCTACAACGGATTTTGACAGTATTATATATCCCTCTCAGGGCAAAACATCAATTCAACCAATAGTCTAATCAAGCGCCTCAGTGACTCACCCAGAAAGCTTGTAAAACAACACGGCGAGTGACATACACAGGTGCAGTTAAGGCCAATTCAGACAGTGTGTTTTTAGACACATTTTGTCAAACAGAACTTCATTCTATCAAATGTCTCCAACGCATGTGCAACTAATAATAGAATTGACGAGTTTAAACATAAATATAAAGGTATGTGTCAATCAAGATATATGCAAGAACAGGCTCAATGATAAATTAGATGGAACATTGTGGGTGTGGTGTATGAATTTTAACACTTTGTAATAATTCTTTAGTATATTACTTATGTGGTGTAGACGATAATTATTTACTGCTTGCAAACCAATGATGGTAAGATGATGTCATGGGGTAGGACTGGATAAGTCTGACTTCTTCCTACTCCATTCAAGCATGTACTAGGTATAAGCAAATTGTTACTGGATTAGCATTTGTTGGATATGTGTTCTCGATTTACTGGTCAATCTACGTTCCGACTCTCACCTATGGTCATGAACTTTGGGTCATGACCGAAAGGGCAAGATCCCGGATACAGGCGGCCGAAATGAGCTTTCTCCGCAGGGCGGCCGGGCGCACCCTTAGAGATAGGGTGAGGAGCTCGGTCACCCGGGAGGAGCTCAGAGTAGACCCGGATAAGCAGAAGAAAACGGATGGATGGATGGTGTAAAATTATGTGTCTTGTCATATCAACTGTCTTTACATGCTTGAAAGAATAAATCAAATCAAACTATTGTTGTCCAGTACATTTCAGCTGTCGGTTGGTCTGGTAAGACCGTCTGTCCAGCTCATCAGGAGCTGATGACTGACAGCTGCTCTGATGCTGAACGTCTCGCTTTCAGTGAGGCTGTGGTTACATAGTTGAGTGAAGCGCCAGAGACTGGAAAACTGTTGAGGTCTTAGTTTAGCTCTCACCAAAAAAATACTTAGAAATAACTACTGATAAAAACAACTCACCCATATTAATCTATATCAGGGGTGTCCAAACTACGGCCCGCGGGCCAACTGCGGCCCGCGGGTCAGTTTTTATTGGCCCGCAGCAAATTCTGAAAATATAATTGAATATGGCCCGCACATGGCGCTTGAGCTCAACTCTGTTGCACTTCTCAGTTTCAACACTAGATGGAGCCAGTCACAGAAAAGGTGCTTCTCCACTAAACAAAATTAAGCAAAGAAAAATATTTACCACGAGTCACCAGAAATGGCAGCACCGAAGAAACGCAAGATAGCAAGTGAGTGTAGAAGATTTCAAACACGGTGGGAAAATGAATATTTCTTTAAAGAAATCAACGGAAAGTGTGTCTGTTTGATTTGCAATGAAGATGTTGCCGTGATGAAAGAGTATAATGTCCGTCGGCACTATGAGACCAAGCATCAGAGCTACGCATCGTACACAGGTGCCGAACGAGCACAGAAATTCAAGCAAATGGCAGCTAGCCTGCAAGCTCAACAACAGTTTTTTTTTTTGATTTTTACTCGATAGCATGCGATGAGAGCACAGACGCCACAGACACCGCACAGCTTTTAATTTTTTTGCGGGGAGTCGATGATAATTTTTGCTGTACGGAGGAGCTGCTTGATATGATGAGCCTAAAAGGCACAACGACGGGTGGAAATATTTTTGACGCTGTGTCAGAGGCAGTTGAAAAGATGGGGCTTAAATGGGACAAGCTCTGTGGAGTAACAACGGATGGAGCTCCGGCCATGACGGGTGAGCGCAAAGGAATGGCATCCATGGTGTGCGTCAAGGTAAAAGAGAGCGGAGGTGAGGCTGTTAGGATGCACTGTATAATCCACCAAGAAGCACTGTGTGCCAAGACTGTCCAGCTGGGCGATGTGATGAACACTGTTGTAAAAACTGTCAACATAATTCGAGCTAGAGGACTGTACCACAGGGAATTTCAAGCTTTCTTATCTGACGTGGATGCTGAATACGGGGATGTACTCTACCACTCTGATGTGCGCTGGCTCAGCCGCGGCTCTTTGCTGCAGCGGTTTTATTCACTGAGATCAGAAATCGACAAGTTTTTGAAAGAGAAGGGCCGACCTCTTCATGAACTGAGTGACCCTCTGTGGCTGGCAGACCTGGCATTTTTAGTTGATCTCACTCATCATCTGAATACACTGAACAAGAACCTACAAGGCAAAGAACAGCTGGTGTCACACCTGTATGCGCACATGAAAGCCTTCTGTGTAAAGCTCCGCCTGTTTGAGACACAACTACGAAGCTTTAATGCTGCACACTTCCCTGCGCTGTCTGAAATCAAGTCTGCTTTTCCAAAGGCAGACCTTTCTGCTAAAAAGGAGAAATATGCTTCTGTAATTACATCTCTCGTGACAGAATTCAACCAGCGTTTTCAAGATTTTTCTGTCATTGAAAAACAAATCAAGCTGTTCTCGACCCCCTTCCTGGTGGATGCAGAAGAAGTGGAGGAGAGTCTGCAGTTAGAACTGATTGAAATGCAATGTGATGATTCTCTGAAGAGTCAACATCAGCTTCTCTCCCTCCCTGACTTCTATCAGAGTTTGGATCATGCCAAGTTTCCTCTGATGAGACGCCACGCAAAAAGAATGATGAGCCTGTTCGGCTCAACATACATATGTGAACAAACATTTTCTCTGTTAAATCAGAACAAAAGCAGACTGAGATCCAGAATGACTGATAGCCATCTCTGTGAAGTCCTTCGTGTCTCAACCACCAAACTTTCTCCTGACATCCCAGCCATCCTTCAATCCAAAGGACAGCATCACTGCTCCCACTGAGAGCAATGTTCTTCACATTATAGGTGAGTTAGAAATACACACAGTAATCATGTGTCAATATGTCACCTCTTGTGTGTGGCCCGGGCCTTTGCTTATTTTTCTGTATTTGGCCCTCACCAAAAAAACTTTGGACACCCCTGATCTATATAATTATTAAGTGTTTGATTAGGGATGGAAGACTGAGCTCAGAGAGGGACAAATGAGGAGAGTGGAGGTAGGACCCAAGTGTTCAGGCAGAGCACTGTCCCCCCACCCCCAGCAGGGGACACTGCTGCCACACCAAACCTCTTGATCCCCAGGAAATACAACACATTTAACACTACACAATAATCAGCCAATCACAGGAGGCGCTGTAGTCTCACACAGCAGGGAAGGATGAGGGTCACCTGACCACTCTGCAGGTCTCTGTATGCCAGATATGTCCACATGTTACAGACAGGTGTTGTCTGTCTGTCGGAGACCATGCAATTCTTCTGCATTTGTGAAGCTCCGCCACAAGTCTCACTGCCAATCACAGCCTTTTGTGGACTTCCTGTTTTTTGCTTCGATTTGTTTACTGCATCCTGATTGGTACTCGGTCCACCTGAGTCCATGTGATCTGTCTGTCCCTCCTCAATCATGTGACCGTTTTGTGTCTCTGTGATCATGAGACCTGCTTGTCTGTCTAAGATCATACGACCTCTCTGTTCTTCTGTCTGTTCCTCCACAACCATATGACCTGTCTGTCCCTCTGTGACTATATGACCTGTCTTTTTTCCCCCAAAGATGTGACCTGGATGTCTCTGCAATGCACTGCCCCCAGCCTCTCTGTGAGTCACAATCTTTTTTGGTCTTGCTCTTTTCTGTCCAGGTTCATTTACTGCATCCTGATTGGTCTGACCTGTCTGTCTCTCCACTTCCCCCAACCTGTCTCTCACTGTTGTATGAGCTGTAACCCTGCCCTTGGAAGTGATCTTCTTCTGTGGTTTCCTCCCCCATCTGAATCCCCTCGCTCTGTCCTGGTGGGCCATTCCCAGACATGACTGCTTCTCCGATTCCAAGAGGTATCTGATTGGTGGACCGACCATCATCCTCCTTGGTCTCTGAGGTTGCTCTGTCACTTCATTTCTCACCTTTTTTTCCCCTCCATCATCTCCTCCTCGCACTTGCTCCTCCACTCCTCTTACCTCCATCAACTCCTCCTCTTTGCCCCCTCCTTTCACCTCCTTCTCAACCTCTCCACACATCCCCCCTCCATCTTCCTCCTGTGGTCGACTCAACCTCCTCTTTACAATTTGGTTGGTCCACTGTGGATTCCTGGTCACATGTTGTCTCAACCAATCAGGAGCCTTGGTGGGGGCAGGTGGGAGGGGCTCTTCCTCCTGCACCTCCTCTTTACTCCTCTCTCCCTCTCTGCTAGCACCGTTTCCCCGGCGATGCCTGTGGACAGACAGGTGGCGCTCCAGTGACACCTCCCTGGTGAATTTCAGGCCACACACCTGAAAACACACAGACTGAGGGTTAAAAATAAAAAAAAAGATGTAACTCGCCTTTAAAAGTAGCTGAATTACTTCCTGTTTACAGCATACTCATGGATTTACAGAAAACTATCATTGGATTACTGTGATTTCACAGAAAAGTTAAAAACATTAATGAAGTTTTACAGCATATTTATTCCTCTGATTTCCGAGTGGATTTATACAGATTTATTCTGGATGGGCATCAGAGATAATGACAGTGGAAGTCACAGTAAATCTAAAAATGTGTTTCGTTTCTGCGTGCTCACATTTCAATTAGTTACAACTCTGAGAAGACGTTCAAACTGCAGCGCCCAGACTAAATGTTAAAAGTAGTTAAGTTGTGAAAATCTTGGGCTGTGGACGGACCTGACAGAGCCACCACACCCCATCCACTCCTCCGTCTGTCTCCTCTGTCAGCTGCACCCCTCCTCTCTCTCTGTGGCTGTCCTCCTCCCCCTGCCACCGCGGCTTTCTTTTTGCTGTTGCTCTGCTGTGATTGGCTACCTCGAACTCCAGCAGGTATCTGATTGGTGGACCAACTGCCTTCCTCCTCGGCCTCCCTGCCTCCTCCCTCACCCCCGCCACCTTCCTGTCCTCGGCTGTGGTGTGTTGGATTCCTGCCGCAGGCGGTCTTTTCTCACTTCTCCCCCCTGGCATCTCTGCCTTGTTTTTCCTTACATTGTGATTGATTTGTTTGAGCACCTCTCTGGGCTTTTGTCTAGAGGTGTTACAGCTGCAACACCGCCTCTTCTTCATAGGCGTCATCGTGACATGTTTATCACTGCACAAACACTCAACTGGAAAAGAAAATGACAGAGAAGCAGAGATCATGAATATCTGCATCCTGTCCCCATAGTTGCAAAGAGGCAGTATTGGAAGCACTCAGGTTCTCAACTTAAGTCAAAGTAGAAATAGCACAGTGTAAAAATACTATGCAACAAGAAAAAGTCCTGCATTCAAATAAAAGTACAGAAGCATTAGTATCAAAATATTCCCTAAATACCACAAGTAAATACAGCTGTGTAGAACAGCCCATTTCACATTAATGTATATGTTATTGGACGTTAGTGACCGATGCATTATTGTCTTCATCATTTTAATGTGGCAGCTGATGACAGTGGAGCTGATGTTAACTATATACTTATAATTTGAAGTACTTTTGATACTGCCAATTGTGAATTTCCCACTGAGGATGAATAAAGTCTAAAGCCTCTGCTGTCATTTGTTTTATTAATGGGATTTTCTTTTCTCCATGTCTGTACCCTTGCAAACTTACTGGAGGGATGACTTCTCTGCTTTTAGCAGATGATGTGGTTCTGCTGGCTTCATCAGACCTTGACCTCGTGCATGCACCGCAGTGGTTTACAGCTGAGTATGAAGCAGTTGGGATGAGAGGCAGTACCTCCAAGGCTGAGGCCATGGTGCTCTGCCAGAAAACTGTGGACTACTTCCTTTAGGTTGGGACTGAGGTGCTGCCCCAAGCCAAGGAGTTGAAATATCTCTGGGTCTTGGTAAAATGGAGACTGACAGGCGGACTGGGGCAGTGTCAGTAGTAATGTGGGCACTGTCCTGAACCGTTGTGGTGAGGAGGGAGCTGAGCCAGAAGGCAAAGCTCTCAGTCTACCAGTCAACCTACAGTGAACTCGCAAAGTTTTCAGACCCTTATCAATTTGTCCACATTTTGTTACGTTTCAGACTCAAATGGATTCAGTTATGATTTTTTTCTCATGAGTCAGAACAATACTTCACAATGGCAATGTGTAAACAGGCTTCTGAATTGTTTTGTAAATTTGAAACTCAGCTGCAAAACAAGCTTTAGAACATATTTATTGTCATCTAGCAGTAATAAACAGGTATCAGTCTTTTTTCCCCCAAGGCAGTCAGGACTATCTAGATCTACCATAATTTCATATGACAGCCTATCACCTGTATGTCTTATGTAATTGCAAAACCCGAATACCTCCCAAACATTCATTTCACAGACTAGTAGGTAGCCTGTACTAGCATCACTAGAATTAGGGCTGGTCACAGCATTTCTTTTGAAATGCAGTTCATGACGAGACAATGAGTAACGTTCCTTCGTAAGATATGGAACCAGGTGTGTATTTCTCACAAATATGGACATATTGCGTCCAGCGGGTTGGTAAGAATACACTGTAAAATCTATCTGACTTAATGTTAGTTTCTTCAATTTAACATCGTCTCCCTTCTTTTACTCTTCCCTCTCTCCTCATCTGGGTGTCATTTCGTCTCTCAACTTCCTGTATCCGTCCTTTCAAATTAAAACCCCTATGCAGTCATGTAACTGGGACACTGTAATACTTCATAAAACTCTGAAGCAGAAGCAGCAATAAATTTGCAGTGGCAGGCTGCCGCATACACACACACACACAGGCAGGCATGAATCTTTGCCGATTTTGACCACATTAACATCTGTATTTAAATGCAAAAGGGTGACAGGAGCATATTTCTGAGCATTTAAAGATCAATAAAAACAGCTGCATATGATGAAAGATTTTTGCACCAGCCAAAGCCGATCACTGAAAATCAGCCATTTCCGATTCCCGACCAATCAGTGCATCTCTTCTAAAAATCAATAGAAAGTGGGGATACCAGTTTAACTTCACTCTTATGCAAACTTACTGTTGTTGTGGTTCAAAGAGCCTTTGTCCTCCTCATTCTCTGCAGCCAGATGGGGGCTCAGTGGAGCAATGAGCCCTGGAGGAGGAGCTAGGTAGTCTGTGGGAGTGGTCATTGAATAAGGAGGAGGAGGACAAGGAGAAAGAAGTGTGTCAGTGGGCGACATCCTGAACACAGGCATGCTGAGTAACGGAGCAGAACACAGGGTAGGCCTGGGTTCCTGTGGTAAAGGGGGTTCCCACATAGGCATGCTGGGTAGCAGCCCAGGCAAGTGGACCTCCTTGGACTGGAGCTGGTCTTGGAGGTGCAGAGGTGCAGGTGGCCTGAACAGAGGCATTGTGGGTAGTGGTGGGTAACTGTAAGGCGAGGGGAGCAGGTAAAGTGGAGGCTGGTTGTAGCTGACCTGTGTTGCTGTGTGGAACAGAAGAGCACTCTCGCCTGGGTCATCTGCTGGGACACAGACACACTGCCACGGTACAGGAGATGCACCTGAGAGACAAACAGGAGAGATGGGAAGTGAGACAGAAGAAAAACAAGCTTCAGATCCAACATCAGATCTCTGCTGGTGTCAGAAAACTGCTAGAAACACACCAGAAAACCCTTAGCTTCTCTTGCACATGCAGCAGTGTGTTTCACTGTGTTTTTAATAGTTTTTTGACAAAGGTAGCGGTCAAAGCCAAACCAGTTTCTGGATTCACAGCTATATCCTCACCTGAGTAACTCCAGGTGAAGTCCACCTGCACAGCGGCATCCCCCCTCTCAGCTATGTTGCTCTGACATCCCACTTCTCTCCTCTCACTCTCTAGACTTTCCCACTGGCAGCCTACCTCCCTCCTCGCCCTTCCCTCGTGATCCTGGATCATCTGTACCAGCTTTCAGACCAGTGTGAGGAGAGGAATGGTGACACAAAACAATGAGACTTAAATGTGTTGTTGCAATTTCTCCCGGTTATCAACAATAATAAACAACCAAAACCAGATCCTAACTAAAATTAGAAGTTATGTCACACCGTGTTAAATGTTGGAACGGGGCGCCATTTTGGGAAATACTCGCTGTATTTACCTGAACGCATTCTTATCTTAAAAACTTGTTTAAATCGGTTAGGTCCCACTTTGCTGACTGTGGTAATTCAGAATGGATAACTACAATTGACTGTAGCTGACTCGTAGCGGACAAAGCGACCGACTGAAAAATAAATCTGCACCCTGATCTCAGCTCTCGTTTCGGGATCTAACGCCAGCTAGCAGCTGCCTTATATGGGTAACATGAACCAACATTATAAGGGCTAACTTACATCCGGTAGTGGTGAGTTTTTTAGTTTGTACTGCAATCAGTACTTGTGCTCACAGTAGAGTATATTTATACTGTTATATAAGTACTTTTATTCCTAATTATCCCTAAATCATTTACTATTGTTATACAGACTAAATGAACTGATGAAGCTAGGATGAAAGGTGAAACGTCTTCGACCTAAAAAGCTAGTCCAGTTGATTTTTTTCTAAGTTTTTTCAGCCTACAGACTAAATGTTTAATCGGTAAATAAAACTACTTAAATACATTTCTGCGTCAAGAATACTTATGCACCATGCTAGACTACGGCACTAACAACGATGTTACGACCTGGCTTTACGCTGCTAGCTAAACACAACTTGGCTTTTAAACCGAATAAAGTTCCGTTATGAGCTGTTGTTCGTCGTCACATTGAACTCGACGAACTTAGGTCTCGCATCCATGTCAAAGCATCTTCAACGTCAAAATTTCCCGGTTTTCACGTGCAGAAACGCGCCTCAACTCAATCTCTCGGTTCAACCGTAATGTCTATTTCTAGTGTATAAAATGTGCCAAAAGTAATGTTTTCTTACTTTTGCGTCCCCTACTTGTAACGCCTGGAAGCCTCATTAGTCTTGCTGTTGTTGTTCTTCTTCTTCACGACAGGACGTGACGCTACTGCCGCTCTGCCCCGCAACCTAACGGTCGGAGGTGGTGCTGGTATCGGCATTGATCCATCGATTCATTCAATCTCTCGAAATAAGCAGTTATGCGCTAATATTAATGTAGCTTTCATAAAAGTATGTCACTGTGTGCCATAAATGTTATTTTGTGTTTCTTATTGTCGTTTTGTTGCCTTTGTTCCCTGGCTCTTTCAGGGCCATCCATAGACATTTTGGGGAGCAGGTGCTCAAGTTAAAAAATGGACACACCTACTGTATCACTAGTGATGGCGTACCAGGCCCAATGAAGCTTTGAACCTTTTTGGATCATTGGTTCACTACTGGAAGCTTCATTCATTGAACACGTGGGTGATATCTGCTGGCTCGGTGGTTGTTGTACAGCCTTGCAAAGGTGAAGCACCTTGCCTGTGCACTAAGTTTTATTGTAATGTGGAAATTACTTAAATAAAGCTGAAATCTAACTTCATTTCACATGTGTCTGTTTTTCTTTCTTGCCTCATAAAGTATCTGAAATGAAATGTTGACTACCTAAGTAATTCTTCTTCCCCAAGAATATGAAATGGATTTATAATTATTGATCCCAAATTACACACTGGACAGAACAAATATTTACAGGGTTCAATGAGGCTTTGGATGTAATCAATGTTATAACAATATAATATAATATGATATAATGTGATTTATTCTTCCTGTGTTTATTTGGAGGGGACCATAAACTTGGACATCCATTGTATGAATAACAGATTGGACAATAAGGCTTGAATCTTGGAAATATAATTTACCTTATTTGGTGGCACCAATTCAAAATGTTACCACACTTGTGACCGTTTCCTTGATGGCTCCATAGTGAGGCAATCCATAATGTGTTGACAAGAGGTAAGACACAGAGCGCAGTTTCATCCACCCTAAATACATCTGTATCACACCAGTGTTTCAAAGCTCCGTCGAAAAATACCCTTCTGAGTTTGAAGCAAGCTTCGAAGCCTTGGTATCAGAGGGAACATCACTACCTACCACAGACAGTTAATTATGAAAAAATAAACAAACATAAAGTTGCAAAATAGTATCTCATTGTATTTTTATGCTTATGTGTGTACTCAGCAAATTTATACAACATTATCAATTTGCACAGGGAAAATGCTCTTTAGTAGGTTAATAAAACTGTGTGGTGACAGTGTTTTCATTAAAAAAAAGAACTGTAACTGTCAGGGGCTCAACTTCAAGTACTGTGGGTGTAACTTCAGTAGAGTCAGTTCAGAGACAGTGCTGACAAAATATTAATATACAGCTACAGCAGCTTTATAGCTGTGATTTAGACTGATCAAACCACATTGTGTAGATAAATTGCAGACCTATGATGAGATCTGAGGCAAGGCATTAACATGTAATTACAACTAGATAAATGCATTTCCTGTCGAAAATGCGTGTGGATGCGATGTGCTGAAGGATTGCCCTGAAAATGCTGAACATTTTGACACCTGAAAGGCATATCTACCTGAAAGTATACTGAAGTACAATTTTCCCATTAATTTGAATGGGGGAAATTTTCAAAATAAAGCTAAATATTTCAGAAGTGTGAAATATTCTGAGTTGAAGCATGAATGTCCTGGGAGACTTGAACATTTTGATAACTGAAATACCTGAAAGTATGCTTAACTAGAATTTTCCCATTCATTTGAAAGGGAAACTTTTCAGAATAAAGCTAAATATTTTAAAAGTGTGATGTTTTGAAAAATAGTTGATAGAAGCATGAATGTCCTTGAAGAGCTGTACATTTTGATACCCAAAATAGGTGAAGGTATGCTGAAGTGGAATTTTCTCATTCATTTGAATCAGGGAAAACTTTCAAAATAAAGCTAAATATTTCTAAAGTATGATGTTTAGAAAACTTCTGAATAGCAGCATGAATGTCCTTGAACAGCTGAACATTTTGATAGCTAAAAGTATGCGGAAGTAGAATTTTCCCATTCATTTGAATAGAGCAAGATTTTCACAATAAAGTTAAATATTACAAAGGCATGAAGTTTAGAAAACTTCTAAAAAGAAGCATGAATGTCCTTGAAGAGCTGAACATTTTGATACCCGAAATAGCTAAAGGTATGCTGAGTGTAGAATTTCCCCATTCATTTGAATGGGGCAAAATTTTCAAAATAAAGATAAATAGTTCTAATATATGAAGTTTAGAAAAATTCTGAATAGCAGCATGAATGTCCTTGAGGAGCTGAACATTTTGATACCTGAAATTATGCTGAAGTAGAATTTTTCCATTCATTTGAATGGGGCAAAAGTTTCGAAGTAAAGATAAATATTGCTCAAGTATGAAGTTTTGAAAACTTCTGAATAGAAGCATGAATGTCCTTGAAGAGCTGAACATTTTGATACCTGAAAAAGCTGAAAGTATGCTGAGTGTAGAATTTCCCCATGCATTTGAATGGGGCACGATTTTCAAAATAAAGCTAAATATTTTAAAAGTATGAAGTTTAGAAAAGAAGATAGATTTTTTTGAGAGGAGCCAGCTGAGGTGGCTCGGGCATCTGTTTCGGATGCCTCCTGGGTGCCTTCCTAGGGAGGTGTTCTGGACATGTCCCACCGGGAGGGGGCCCCGGGGAAGACCCAGGACACGCTGGAGGGACTATGTGTCTCGGCTGGGCCTG